CCAGACGATTTTTTTATAATTAAAATATTCAAATATAATTGATGTCATTGTATAGAGCTTGGTTTGACTTAAAAAATGAGGGGTCATTTGGCCTTTGAAGTTAAGCGGATCAAAAGTTATTGACCTTTTTGTAGTGAAAAAACGGGTAATTTTTTGACAAAAGGTATAGGGCTTAAGTATGGAAAATTTACTGCGAAATGGCACCGAAAATGAAAGTATTATTGACATTTGAATAACTTTTGAACCGATGATACATTTGACTTGAAATTTTACATAGTGACCAATTAACTATAAGAAAATAAAATTCCAAATTTTTTTTTTTAGAAATCTGTCAGGATTGACCAGAATTTATCTATTTTACAGACCAGAATTTTTACTAATTTATACATTTTTAGGGTCATACTGACTTTTTAATAACTTTTGAATCGTTATTACATTTGAATTGAAATATTCTATAGCAATCCAACAACTATAAGAAAATAAAAAACCAATTTTTTTTTTTTAAAAATCTGTCAGGATCTACCAGGATCACCTATTTTACAGACTGAGAGTTTTTACTAATTACTATATTTTTGGGGTCATACTGACTTTTGAATAACTTTTGAATGGTTATTACTTTTGACTTGAAATTTTTCATAGTAATCAAAAAACTATAAGAAAATAAAAAACCAAAATTTTATTTTAAAAAAATCTGTTGCGATTGTCCAGAATCATCTATTTTACAGCTGAAGGGTTTTACATTATTTTCTTAGTTTTGGAGAATAAAATTTGGGGTGATATTATAATTATACCATGTGAATATGCATAAAAGAATCATGGAATCCAAAAAATAAAACATTTGAAAACTATTGCGTAATTTACAGACCGGTCAGTGAAATAATCATATAAATTACTTTTCGGTCAGTAAACTGCTGAAAATGGGCTGTTCAAACAAATTAAACATATCAACTTTAAATAATTTGTAATTTTTTTATAAATTTTGATATTTTTGAACCGTTATTACATTTGACTTGAAATTTTAATTAGTGATCCAGTTTTTATTAAATCTGTCGGGATTATTCAGAATTGTTTATTTTACAGACTGAAGGGTTTCTACTTGTTTAACTGTGTTATGATGAAAAAAATTATGGTTGATTTATGCAAATATGCATAAAGGAATCATGGAATCCAAAAAATAATTTTCAGACCTGTCAGTAAAATTATTGCATAAATTACAGACCGGTCATTAAATTACAGAAAAAGGGATGCACAAACCAATTGGGCATATCGACCTTAAATATATTTGATATATTTGAACAGTTATTATATTTGACTTGAAATTTTAAATAGTGTGCCAGTTTTTATTGAATCTGTTGGGATCATACAGAATCGTCTATTTTACAGACTGAAGAAATTTGAAATTGAAGTTTTTGATAGAGATACAAAAAAAATTATGGCATTTAATTTTCTTATATACTATAAGAAAATTAAATGCCATAATTTTTTTTGCATTTGTCAAAATTATCCAGAATTGTTAATTTTACAGACTGAAATGTTTTTATTTATTTACCTAGTCTTTTAAAAATGAATTTAGATTTAAATCTTTTAGAAAAAAATTTAAGTTATATTATAAAACTTCATGCTATATGCATAAAGGATTGTGGAATCCAATTAATTCATCTGTTTAAAACTTTTGCTTTATTTACAAACCGATTAGTAAATCACTGCATAAGGGCATAGGAATAAATCATTCAGAATTACCTATTTAACAGACAGAAGATTCTTTAATAAAACTAAAATTCAAATTTGAATGAAAATAACTTGCAGCAACAGAACTTCCTGAAATTTTGAGTACTTACAACATAATAGTAGGTGTAACAGCAGAACTCTACCTAAAATTGTAATAAAATTATTATTAAAAACAATACATCTAAATACATACAATAATACATCAAATAACACTAGATACACAATAATTTAAAAAAAATATTTGTTAATTCATTTTAAAAATTAAAAATTAAAAAAAGTTATAAATTAACAATTTAAAACTAAATAAATTAAAATAAGAAACTTATTTTTTGAGATTTGTGAACTATCGACAACACCTAAGATGAAAAAATGAAAACAACATTAAAACAAAAAATATTGTTTGTCTAAAATTTATCTCTTGGCTTTTAGTGAATGATTAGAAGTAGTTTCAGTAACGAAACAACCTAATAATCATTTTTAACGATAGACACCAGCGAGAAGGTAAGCCAAGTTGTCTATCAACACAAAACATCACAACAATAACATCACAATCACAAAACACACAGACCCTGTGGCACTAAACGCTGCAAAAAACGCTGGGGCAGATATTCTAATGACGTCCTTTCTCTTTTAGACAAGGAGCAAAAATGCATTGTAAACATAGTTGGACCTGCTCTTGCAGCCAACCTCCAACCATTATCACATCGTTGTAATGGTGCTTCTCTTTCTCTTTTCTACAAATATGGGCACTGCTCTAAATAGCTAGAGTCCCTTGTTTATCTACTAAAATTCATTCTCTTGTGACTGTTTCTAAGTGCTCCAAAAACTCTTATTCTTCTATTTTTTTCCTCGAACATCAGTTCTTTGGAATTCGCTTCCTTTATCTTGCTTCCCTGTTTCATATAAATTGCAATCTTTTAAGTCATCTGTCAATTATTATCTTACTCTACAAACTTCATCTTTTCTCTTCCAGTAACTTCCCCAACTCCTACAATGATTGCTTGCAGCCTAGTTGGAACAACTCACAAATATACATACAATGACTTACTGTTGTTTCAACGCTGTGCCACAAGACCAACAGACACAAACATAAATAAAATAAAATAAAAACTTGATCAAAATGACTAACCTGCATTATCAAATGAAATTATAGTCATTCCACAGTTCCAACAAAAGAGTAAGATACATATAATGACTTACAGGTAGATAAACACAAAGATACGCATAATGACTACATAAATACAAACATACATATAATGACTTACGGGTGGGTCAGCACCGCTCCAGAGGTCCAACAGAACACAAACATACACATAATGACTGATAGGTACATAAACACAAACATACATATAGTGACTTACGGGTGTGTTAACACCGCTCCAGAGGTCCAACAGAACACAAACATACACATAATGAGTAACAGGTATATAAACACAAACATACATATAGTGACTTACGGGTGTGTCAACACCGCTCCAGAGGTCTGACAGAACACAAACATACACATAATGACTAACAGATACATATACACAAACATACATATAGTGACTTACGGGTGCGCCAACACCGCTCCAGAGGTCCAACAGAACACAAACATACACATAATGAGTAACAGGTACATAAACACAAACATACATATAGTGACTTACATGTGCATCAACACCACTTCAGAGGTCCAACAGAACACAAACATACACATAATGACTAACAGATACATAAACACAAACATGCATATAATGACTAACAAGTGAGTAAAAACAAACATGCAAATAATTGCAGACACACCTACAAAAACATACATCCAAACACAAAAAAATGTAAACACAAGGATACATGTATTGACAGGTATGTCAGCACAAAAATAGAAAGCATGACTTACGGGTATGTCACCATGACGGCAGATGTCCAATAGAAAACAAATATACATATAAAGAATTGTCGGTGCGCCAACACCGCTCCAGATGACCAAACAGAACACAAACAAGAACACATTAAATTGAATGACAATAAAAATAATAATAACAATAATATTATTAATAATAAGAATAATAACAAACATAAATACAATAAATTAAATCCCCATTATGTCAAAAATGATATTAACTGCATTTTTGCTTTTTACAAACTTCACCCTCCACATAACCATCAGCTTTTCCCTCTACCACAACACATTTCATCCTCCACTCTTTGACCAACTCAATATCATACTTATCTTCATATCCATCATATAGTATCTGAAACTCACACTCTTCATCAAATTCATTGTCGTCTAGAACACTAACCACGAGCCCTGAATACCATACATCCTTGCCATCATTATCTACCATTTTATGTTTTATTCTTTTTCCTAAAAACTTTGGAACCCCTCTCTTTGATGTGCCTGTTCTTATTTTACTTCCAGTTTCCATAATTAACCTAGCGTCAACCTCTAATCTGACTTTTTTTTTTAATGTTAACAACATTTCTTTTCTTTCATTAATCTGTCTGATAACTGAACATTTTATTGCAGTTGCGCGTTGTTCAGGAACTTCTTTTAAAAATTTAAAAATTGATATTAGATTGGTTTTTAATTTATCAATACCAAATTTTTTGTAATACTCCCCTTTTGCCTTTTCTCCTAATTGTAACCACTTTTCTGGAAATTTTTGCTGTAATACTTTTTTTCGAAATTTAATTTGTCTTTGCAACTTCATTACAATTTCATTTTCAGTTCCTAAAATTTTTTCAAAATCCTCTTCACACAAAATTAAACCACCATCCTTTCCGATTTCTGTTGTCAAAAACTCTTTCTCTTCGCTTGCCTTTTGTTCCTTTATTTCCTTTTCTAAGTTGCGCTTGTCCATCTCATCAATTTTGTACTGCAATATATTTGCTTTTTTCTCTCTGTACTTTCTTATATACCCTTTTCTATTTCGCCTTGCTAATATAACTAGCCTTTCAATTTCTTCCTGTGATTTTCCATCTATCCAATCAGCTGTTTTGTTGTTGTTAAACATGATCACACCAGCTGCAGCTACTGTTGTCATGTTAGGTTTCATTTTTAACCTGCGGTCATAGGAAGCAAAGTCACGTTCAGACACAACATTAGTACGTGGGCAGTTTTGAGTTTCTTCAAGCACATCATCACCCGGATTGTAATATTTTCCTCCAGGCAATTGGTCTCTTAACTGACTCTGAATCATAACCGAACATGTGCAACATATAACTTCAAGACATTCTTGTGTTAAGGCATCCAAAAGTAGGTCATTACAATTAGAAAATAAATGATCAAACACTTCATCCTTGGTGAGATATTTTACATCAAAAAATGTAGAACCACTTAACATTTTTGATGCATCAGAAGAACAAGAAACAAAATAATTGAACATTTGCAACCAAATGGTATTTAAAGAGAAAATATGACCCTCCTCTTCAATAATACGAAAAAGAGGTCCTGATATCAATTTATTAAAAATTCCCAGAGCTCTAGTTGAAGCATGAAAAATGATGTTGTCAATATCATGCCTAATTGACTCATGAAGAAAATTTGAACCACCAAGATTGAAAACAAATTCTTTAAGGTGGTCTTTATGATAATACGTTGCTCCACCAAGTACAAATATAATATTAAAGCGATGATGCAGAAATGAAACCATATAATTTTTTGAAAACCTTTTACGCAAAAATGCTTTCCATTCATCAGCTTTTCCATTTCGCTGATCACCATGCCGATAGCTTGTAAGTTTTGAAAGTTCATACAAAATATCAAAGGTGCGAGAGTTTTGAGAACTTTTAAAACCACCATGAATACTACCTTCCTGCTCAACCACTTTTTCCCATTCTATTATTGCTTTTTCTGCATATATTCCTAGATTGTGGATAACGTGTAAGCCACAAAAAACATGATGCATTTGAGAAATTTTTAATTTTTCATTTAAAGGAAGCTGATCATAGTTTTCAACAACAAAAGGCAAAATTGCTTCTCTCCAATGTTTAAATTGGTGAAAAAAACTTGAATTAACGATAGTGCGATCTGTCATCAAAGATTTGAAAGAAAATATAAGTTTCTTAAGATCATTCTCGTAGTTTTCCTTGTCAGGAGAAAATATCTTAGACATATCAGTGAGTAAGTTTTTTAGCTCTCCAAAATAAGATTGTGCCTCTCCCGAAAACATATCTTCTATCCCAAACGTGTAGCTACCAGATGATGTTGTGACTTGAAAACTACCAACCTCTCTAAAATTATATTTTGTGCCATCTGTATGAAGAACATTGTTTGTACTATTCAACATAGCCTCTCTCACTTGAGCTTTTGCTAAAAGGTTCATTTCACTAAAAAATTCAGAAGCCAAAGATTTTTTTGGAAGTGTGCCACATGAAATTCCAGCCATTTTTTGTAGTACAGTTCTGATAACAGATTCAACATTATTAACAGAAACATTTTTACTTAAAAGGTCGTAATATACCGAGCGAATTTCATCATTATATCTACCTCCTTCATAAACGTCAATAACATTTTTTTCAAAAATGTCAACTCTTTCCTTCAGCTCTTCTGTAAGATTTTCAAAGTAATTCAAACTCTCCTTTAAGAATGAATCATTTGTTTCATCAGATGTTTTCAAAATAGTGTTTTCAATTTTTTTCTTTAAATACCAAGCCTTTTGTCGATCTGATTGGGAACGCTTTCTAGCCAAATCAATTTCTTTTTCTAATCTTAAATTTATTTGCAACAATTGGTTAATCTTACAATCTTTTCTAACGTCTCTTTTGTTGACATTTCGAACATTATATTTTGACAAGATTGCTTGATATTTTCTTTTATATTCATAACATCTTCTATTAACTTGTCTATTTTGCAATTTAAGGTAATTAATTCTCCGTTTGTATCTTTTTATTTGATAGGTCAAATCACCAGAAAATAAAGGTAGTTTTTTATCTAAATTGGAAACTGGAAGATTCTCTTCACTAAAACGTGTTTCAGTAAGAAATTTTTCAGACCTATTTTCTAAAGGGATGTATATAATAGAAGTTGGGGTAACAGGACACGACAATTCATCATTAGTAATTTGTAAATTTAAATCAGAAGATACAAAAACAGTAACTTGATTTGGAACAATTTCACTATTGTAGATAGAAGTAGGGGTAGAACAAGCATCAGAAGGTAACAAACCAACAACATCAGAAAAAGCACTATTAAAAGATAAAGCAGAGCTTAAAAAATGTTTTTTAAAGTCCAAATTTTTGGCTCGATTTAATTTTACAATGTAACCTTTTAACTTTTTAAAGATCCTTATAAGCATCACTCTAGAGATATTATACTTACAGTAGGTTGTAAAAAATAATGAAAGATTTCCTAATGTTATGTTATGTTTATTTTTGTCTTTGCAAATTTCTAGAAAATGGCTATTGGTTAACACAAAATCAGGATATTTGAGAGAAATAATGCCATCATTTATATCCAGAAAATCCAAAATATTCTTGCAGGTTGCTATTTCAGACAACACTTTGGTAGCTAAAATTAATATTAAATTTAATTTGAGTGATTACAATAAATCTATTGTTAATCGAAGAGTTGAAGTTTGATAATATCTAGCTTTGTGAAAATAAAATAAAGGTAGATCATCAAGCTTAAGATTCTATAAATAAAATTATTTAAATATAAAATGTTTGTTATACATTTTTCCGGATTTAAAAATTTAAAAAGTCAATCAAAGTATGACTTACATTCTTGACTTATAGATTGAACCACCATTTCACGTAGATTGTTAAGTTCACAGCCTAAAGAAAAGAATTTGAATTTGAAATTAAAGTTCATTGGTTATTTTACTTAGCCAATAAAAAATATAAAAATAAATGAAAAAAAAAAATGATAACATTTTTACACATTTCCATTTTGTAAACTTTAGACTAAAAGTTTAGTTGATTATTATTTCTTTTTGTTTTGAAAAAAACAGTTTAAAGAATCTACAGACTAAAAACAGTAGTAGAAACAGTGAGAATCAAGCTTGTAGTTGAGCAATCCAGAAAAAATACCTTTAAAAATATAAAATCTTTATTTTTATTGCCTTGAAAACTTAAGTCATTAATAAGGAATATACTTTCATTTTCAATTTTATTTGTAGTTAAAATTTCGGAATTGCAAAATCAAAACAAAAAACGTCATAAAATACGCGAAGAAATATAGATGTATATATACAGAATTCTAATATACAAATCCGAAGCACCTATTTTTTAAGAAAACATAATTAAACACTTGTTTTAAAAAGAGGAAAGGCTGAATTTGCCATTTCCACTTGAACACTTTCAAAAATCACTTTTTTTTCTATAATAATTAACCTTGAAGTTTTTAAACACTGAGAACTAAAAATTTATGTATAAATGTTAAAAAGTGTTCACATTCCATTAGATTCCTCAACCTTTTTTTAATATATACGGAAAGTTTTATAAAAATTGGATTTGTTTTGGTACTTCGGAATCCTTACCTCCAAAAGCTTCGTTTTAAAAAAACGTTCCCGCTTCAAGATTTTTTCTCAAAAGTGGTCTCAAGATATGGATAATATTTAAGTGAAGCCATTTAAAACATAGTACTTTTCATATATGGCTGAAAAGAGGTTGAGTAACACTAATTGATGCAAAAAACCTGAGGTTGCTTGCTTTCCTATACAAAAAGATATAAGAGAGCAAACTTCATGAAAATTTCGTGTTTTTTGTCAAACGTCAAATGTTTTTCGCTTAGCCGTGGAATCGCTAACATTGGGCGATTTACAAGGGGTAGGTAATAAATCAGACAGATTTAAATTATATCGGTCTGAATTTTACTTTTACATACACAGTTATATAACAAAAGCATTAGTAAATAACTAATTAGTTTATATTTGTTTTTTTTCTGTTACAACCACTCTATCTTACATCGTCTTTCTTACATTACTTTTATGTAAACTTTTTTAATTTCTAGAATTCTTGTCCTAAGCGTTTTTTTCTCCTTGTTTATGTTTACAAAGATGGTACGGACGTTTTAGGTACACTTCTACCAAAAGCGCAATCTCGTTTTGAGTTTTACGCGGATCTAATATTCTACTACAACACTCATATAGGGGATTACAGTGGTTTATTTAAAATTAAGCTTGATGTTAGTATGCTTAAATGGTATGCAGATTTAAACTTTAAAGAGTTAACATTTTTGTCTATTTAAAAGTTGAACAATTTGGAAGAAAAAAACACTTAAAAAACCCAACAGAGTTTTAAAGTATACTCAGAAAAAAGTGATGAAAAAAAAAATTATTGATCTACAATTTGGAGAAGTATAATTTAACAATTTTTTCTGACTAATAATAATAGAATAGGTAAGAATAACTATCAAAAATAAAATCTTACCCACTGAATGTACTAAATTAAGAGAAAAAATACTTTCGTTTATCATACAATTTAGAATAACTAAACAAATTTAAATGCTTCAAATATCTTTCAATTAAGAAAACCCCGTGGTTAGCGGTATTTAATAACATCCAAAAGTAGACGATAAAAACGCATGCTCAAATTTTATTTTGGTCTGGGGATTTTTATGAAAATCGGCAAATGTCATTAAAAATCCTCAACCCAAAAGTTTGTTTACAAAAACTTCGCATGCGCAATAGCGCAATAGCACGAAGCAAAAACATTCTAGGTCTGTGTTTTTTTTTAAATTCGCAAACCTACTTTTGGATCATCCAAAAGATATTTAAAAATATCATTTGATATTTAAAATATTTTTAAAAGATATTTAAAAATAACTTTGGGATGATCCAAAAGTAGGTTTGCGAATTTAAAAAAAAACACAGACCTAGAATGTTTTTGCGCTATGTTTAGGTACGTATGCGTAAGGAAATACGAAAAACTTTTAAACTTTTAAAATCATTTTAATGGGTAAAATGGTTAAAATGGTTAAAACCATTTTAAAATGGTTAAAACCATTTTAAAATGGTTAAAACCATTTAAAAAGTTCAAAAGTTTTTCGTATTTCCTTACGCATACGTACCTAAACATAGCACTTTTTACTAATATCTAAACGACCGTGTAGCTTAAATTTTTAACATTCTTACGTGTCCAGAGTGTGCTCATGTGCACATTCAATAAAGCTAAATCAAAATTAAAAAGTTAGGATTTGCTTTTGAACTTAATTTGCAATGTACAATTTGTGGTTTAAATGATTCTGAACTTTAAAGAAAGATTCGAAACAACAAGTTTTGACACAAAACTTTTGTTTCAAACAGGAATGGGTTATCAACTTATAAAACGGGTTTTTTATGAATTTTTATAAAAGTTGCATCAAATGTTTAATCATAGTCTATAAAGCAATATTTAATAGATAAAATGGTGGTTCAAGAAAAACATAGTTGTTGCTATAAATAGAATATATACAATTTTTTTTTTTTTTTGCGTTTTTTTATAAGATATAAATATTCTACTAATTTTGCTTGACTGTGAGAAGGACAAAACAAGATGGATTCAAACTTAGAATCCTTATTCAACGTATGGAAAAGGTTTTTAATTTAACTCATCACAATTTCAGATGAATCATTGACACAATTTTTTGCTCCTATATGAAGGATTAACTAAGCTATTAACACAAAAAGAAAAATTTAACAAAAGCTAGGGTTAGAGAAAAGACACAAATCATGGACTGAAGGTAAGTGAAATTGAAAGAAAAACGAATCACAAAGTTAACTCTCTGAGTAAGAGATTGAGAAATGCAGAAGTTATGAGCTTTTGTCCCTGCAGGGTCAGTGGTGTTAGAGCCAAGCCATTCAGTAATAAGTAATATAGTCAATAATAACATCAATATTAGCAGAAGGGTAAAGAATATAAAAAAGCATGGTCAATTTGATCAGAGTTTACATCAAAACTGAGATCTGACGAAGGAACAGTCGAATTTAACTTAGTCTCACAAAAACAAAAGTGTGGCATCTGAGGCCTGATAAGACTTTATATAATTTTTAATTTTTAATTTATATTTTTTGCCATTTTAAACAAAAAAATAATTTTTAGACAGCACTTTAAAAAAAGACCAACAAATTGCAACACAAGAGACATTGTTTTACTAAATCAAATTTACTCTTTTTTAAGTACTTAACACAAAATCTTAACTATTTATAATATAGATAACCGTTTTCATTAAAACATTTTAAATACAAAGCAAACAATTTGGCCGAATACCGAATATCAGATTGTAACGAAAAAAACGTAAAAAAACGGACATGGTAAAACACCCGGGATTCGTCATCCGACCTAGGATAATCACTCAAAAAATTTATTATTTATAATTTAATTGTATTTTTTTCTTTTTCGGGTAATTTTTATGCAAGAATACCGTATAAACATAGGGTTAGTCAATGAGTTTGATTGGGCGGGCATTGTACAATGCCCGCCCAATCAAACTCATTGACTAATCCACAATTGTGGCAACCACTTGAAAAAAATTACCGTTTTGCTAGTAATCGGCACCAAAAGAAAAATTTTTTAAATTGATTATTTTTTTCCTTGTCGTAAAATATGACATGAAAACCGGCATACTTGTCAAAATAGGTGTTACCTCAGAGCCGTAACCACAATTTTCATATTAGGGGGGCCCATATTACATATTAACGATCTTTTTTTTTTTTTTAATTTAGGTGGCCATTTTTTTAAGTACCTAAAAAAAATGGGTACCTAAAAAAGGTATGTTTTTCCCTAATAATTATAGTATAATAATTTTTGGAATGGCCAAGGCGCCCCCCCTCCCTCAACCCAGTGGTTACGCGTAACCACTGGGTTGAGGGAGGGGGGGGGCGCCTTGGCCATTCCAAAAATTATTATCAGAAAATTAAAATTAGACTCAGAGCCGTATACGGCTCTGAGTCTAATTTTAATTAAAATTAAGCCTTGTAATAAGCAGTTAAATATTTTCCAGTCTTCGCAAAACTCTTTTTCTTGTAGTCTCCACTTTATATAATTGATAATTTTAATTGTTTATAAATCTTTTTTTCTTTTTTAGAATTATCTAATATGAACAATTATAATTTAATTTAAATAACTTTTGTAGGGTTTAAATTATCCTGAAAATTTCCATTTTGTTGCAATAAACTGGCGGTTCAACGTTTGAATGTAAAACAAGAGCGAACAAATTTTTAAAACACACTTGAAGAAAACATTCCTGAATGATACTTTTTTATCTCTCTTTTTTTCTTAGTTTGTATTTTTACCTTGTAAATATATTTTACAGAGTGATTAATTAAATAACAATAATAATAATAATAATAATAATAATAATAATAATAATAATAATAATAATAATAATAATAATAATAATAATAATAATAATAGCAATAATAATAATAATAATAATAATAATAATAATAATAATAATAAAAAGTCGAATTTGTCAAGTTTGCTACCCTCCCCCATCCCTGCCCCCCCCCCGCCTTCTTTTATTTTGCTAATCATTAAAACATATTTTAGTCGTTACACGTGTGTTGTGAATGTTGCATATATGATTTGGAGTCCCTTTAATTTATTCGATTGACAAATACTGGGTTTTTAAAAACTACTCGGTTTAGAAGAACTAATCTTACCTGAGCGTCAGTAATAAATTAATGACTTAAGTCAAATTTACAGTTTTATAGGGATGAAATTTAAAAAAATATATTTTCTCGAGACCAATAGAATAATAAATATATAAAATGAGCATTAGTAACTCTAATGATTGTTTTAAACAAGAAAATGAACAAGCAGACGATAGTGAAGAAGAAAATGAAGAAACAGAAGTAAAAAGGGATACAGAAGAAGGTAAAAGTAACGATGAGATCAGCGACGATCATTCGTTGCATTGTATTACTTACAGCACACTTAGCTCATCTCCTAATTCTATTAGTTGGTCTGCAGATGAAAGTTTAGCTATTATAACTGATAAACGGATATATGTCCTTGTATCTTTTCAGTAAAGAAAAAAATTTTTTCCTGATAATTGCAAGATTTGTTTTAATTATTTTATTATTTTATCTGACATAGAATCATTAGAAGTCCAAAGCAAGAAAATACTATTTCTTGTTTTTTTTCCATTTTAATGGTAAAGTGATTTGACTTTTCTGTTTTTGGGAGATATCGTGTATTATTTTTTAATATTATTGCATGTGGCATCTTCTTGCAAGATGACATGCACTCTTACTCTGCAATTAGAAATTTAAAACTTGTGATATACCTTAAAACTTAACAGAGAAAAAAGTCTGCATCCCTCATCACACTCTTGGACTCAAAAAGTGTTCAATATTTAAATTTAGAAATTGTTTTATAATATTTTTTAATACATTAGTTTTTTTAAATATTGTAATTTTGCTTTTCCAGTTGTTGTAGCAATTAAGTTTTAAAAAATTTAATAAAATAATAAAAGTCAAGAAAATTTGCTCTTTACTAATATATTTTTTTAATTGAAATATTATGTTTCGGAAAAACAACAAAAAAGAAACCATTCAGACATGGTTTTTGTAAGTTTCATTTTTAATAAATTATATTTTCTTTTAACTCTGTTTAAATCAGAAAATTGTTTCATCATGTATGCGGAAAAAACCTGGAACGGATTTCGGATTAAAGTTTGAAACAACTGTTGTTGAAAATATAAAACCAGTAAGTTATGATACTGGGGTAGACACAAATAATTTTTGTAAACGCATCAATGGTTCATTTTTACAAAGACAGTCTTATCTATTAGATAGTGCAACATTTGAAAATGATAACTTTTGTGTTGAAAATAAAAACAGCTATTGTCAACTAAAATGGTCGCCTTTATCTTCTACAAAAGATGGTAGGTAAGAATTACTGTGTATATATATATATATGTGTGTGTGGGTGTCTCTGTGTGTTTGTTTGTTTTGTTTGTGTGTCATTATCAAATCTTGAGCTGTGCTCATAAATTGTTTTTTAAAAGTCAAAATTAAATGAGATTTTAAAATAATATAAATAACTAATTAAGTATCAAGTGGCGTTTTAATTCCTGATAAATGTTATTGATTTTTAGTAATTCTTCACGTTTTTACTATTTTAATATAATCACTAGAGTTTTTAAATTGAATTCCATAACCTTTCATACTGTTTTCTTAATAATTGATGCATCTGGGCATTTAAAAAAATAGCGTATGGAAACTTGTATGTTTTGTCTATTATTTTCATAATAATAAAACTGGCGATCTCCAATTTGCTCTCATTTACTTCTAACCTACATAAATGTTTTGTAAACAAAAAATGTATACATTAGTAATGTTTACAAAGAATAAATTAAGTTTGAAACGAAATCACACACAGAACTAAAAAACTCAAGTTTTAGTTACTAGATAAATAAGCTTTAATTCCTCAACAAATATAATTTTCAGCGTTTTTTTAGTTTTAAAGAAATGATGTTTTAAACATTAGTAAAGCTTTACAGAAAGTTACAGGATTGTACTATGTATCATAGAGTCACAGCAATCATTTAAATCCAGTTCATGAATGATCACACATGGAAGTCACGCACCGAAGTTGCAAGTTTGTTAATTTCATTTAGATATTTTAAAGAAAATAAATTGCTTGTAAGTATTTTAAGTAAAATATTATACTTCTACGCCTCATATTTATTACATTTTCAATGAGAAATGGCAGTTAAAATTCGATCAATTCAACAAAGAAAATTTCATGAGTTCTACAGGTTATTATGTATCTACCTATAAAAAAGGAACTCCTTTTTTGACAGACAATTTTTATAAAGCTAGAACTTTTTAATCTTTTATATATATATATATATATATATATATATATATATATATATATATATATATATATATATATATATATATATATATATATATATATATATATATATATATATATATATATATATAAAGAATCGGAAAACTCGAGTAGGACCAAGATGCCACAAAGAAACTGCTCAAGCTAAAATTGAATGATTTGGATGATCATAACGTTAATGTTTAAATGTATATCTTCTTAATGTTTTTTTTTTTAAATATTTCATCGATGAGATCTTAACCTCTAAAAAAACACATTTGTAAAATCTTTTATTATCAAATTTTTAAAACTGCCAGCTTTTCTTTGCTTTTCGGTGTCTACGGCGTTTGCAGTAATCAATTGAACATACTTTGACTTACTTTGTAAAACAAAATATTTTTTCAATGAGAGTTTATTCACTCTATATAAAAAAAAAATATTTAGCTACACCATCTTTCCCCATTTTGTTATAATTAAACTTTTTTTTAAGCTTCTTATTATTATTGGAATCTCATCTTTTGACTTCTTGAAAAAACTTAAACATAATTGAAATATCAGTAGAATTTAATAATGCGAAATTTAATAAAGTTAATTTGCTTATTCGCATTTATAATATTCATTTTGCGATTGTTTTAAATAAGCAATAATTTTAAATTTAATATTATAACAATAAAATTGTTAAAGAACAGTCATTAAAACTACAATTAATTAAATTACAACAAGTCATAAATGTCTTAACTACTCTAATATTTCACACATTAGTGGAATTTCACACATTTTTGAATATGTTGACACTATAAATATTTCAAAAAATAATTCTTAAGTCATTTTAGTCATTAATCAATTTGCCAATATGCTTTTTTTTTAAATATATTTTTTAAAAGAGGATTTATAATCATGTTTTTATAGTCTAAGAAAATACTTGTTTTCACAAAAAATTTTCTTAATGCAGGCATTTAGAAATCAATTTGCGTAGTTACTCCCATAATTACCACATTGAGTATTTTTTATACTACAAACTCAGTGGCACTCTGGATTTTATATTTGATCGATAGTGATACCTGAAATTCCTTGCAACCCTTCAATTCGCATAGTTACTAGCCTAAGTGACTTTCTTGAAGCACTAAAGTTTTAAACTAGAATAATATTTATGTGCCTAATTTATGTAGTTCCAAATCTTTATTTTTATTTCTTAAAACTACTACGTAACTCATATAAAAAAGAACCTAAAGATTGAACCTTTTTTGTGTATATAATATAAAATAATATAAAAGTTTTGGTTTAAAATTTTTTTTTTCAAATTTAAACTCATTATATTTTGATAATTGTAAAACAACTTTGACTTCTTTTTTTACCATCTTGGCACAACCTGATGCAAACAATAGTTTTAAAGATAAAAAATATAGCTAATACATTTGCTCAATAATAAAATCTTTTTTGTACTAAAAGGTAGAAAATAAACTTTTTAATTTAAATTTAATAGTTCAGTAAACTAAAGATCGAGAAGGTCTGCACTAGGTTTATATACATACCTATCAATCTTTAGTTTACAACTATTTTATGCTTATTAGTAGTGCAAAAAATATTGTCAAATTTAATAAAAATATGAAAAAAATTTAAAAAAGCAATAGTACAATAACAGTTTTATGAAATTTATTAGAGGGCAAGAAGTGAGTTAGAGGGCAAAAAGCGAGTTAGAGGGCAAAAAGCGAGTTAGAGGGCAAAAAGCGAGTTAGAGGGCAAAAAGCGAGTTAGAGGGCAAAAAGCGAGTTAGAGGGCAAAAAGCGAGTCAGAGGGCAAGAAGCGAGTTAGAGGGTAAGAAGTTAGTTAGAGGGCAAGAAGTGAGTTAGAGGGTAAGTTTGATTTGTTAATAAAGTCACAGAATTTAGTAAACCTGATTATTGATTTTTTTTCTAATAATTTATAGCAGTGTTTGGTTCAATCTACTTGAATTTGCTTGTTTTTTCCTCACTACAACTTTTAACTCTATAGATACACTCACAAAGATATATTTCAGAACCCATGCAAACCGAGCAATTTGCTCAATTATGTCAATAACTATCAGTTAAATTAAAAGAACTGATGCTTTCATTAATATAAATACATGCTCTACCTCCCCCTATTAATTTGTCAGTCTTTTTAGTACAAGGATTAACTTAAAATATTTGTTGTTGATTATTCATTATACCATATTTCACTTATCATTACAATATGTGGTTGCTTAGTTTCAATATAAATTAATCATTTATCTAACTTGTTGCATTAGTATACCAGCAAGAAAGATGACTATATTTATTTGACAATTTAATTGATGCAGATTTTGCAAACCCTACTTCCTTGAATACCATTTCGACAAAGCTTGTTGATATTTCCTTCTATAGCAAGTTTTCTGTTGCGCTTATTTCTTTCAAAAACTAGTTTTTTTGTTTGTTTCCTTTCAACCTCAGTTTGATCCAAAATAATGTATACTTTAAAAAAATTGCTTTAAGTTTTTTAGCAGTTTTCGAAACATCTACTTCGTTTGTGACGTCTGTTAATTCTTTTAAAACAGGGCTGCTTAATCCCTGGGTTTAAAACGATGAACTCTTTTTATTATATTTTTGTCTGTGCTTATTTCATTGAATAATCATTAAACATTTTGTAGTCATGCACTTTTGAATATTCAGTTCAGCAGTCCAACAATAACAACATTCTTTTCCCTCTTTCCAATGTCCTTATTTATGGTAACAACAGCCCTAACAACTTGAAACTCTTCCTTTGAATTAACTAAACATCTCTTTGCAATTGAGGCCTAGTTTAGTGATTTCATGTTACTTTTAGATTTTTATTCCTTATCTAAAACTGCATGACAATTATTTGTTTTCAGTTTCTAGTTTTGTCTTTCCCTGAAAACCCTTTCCACCCATGCATCAATTTTAGATTCAAGTTTCTCTATCTCAATTTGTTCATTCGTTTAACTCAAATAAAATAAGTCTGTTTAAGAATTGATTATTGAGAATTATTTAAGAATTTTTTGAATTTATTTAAAGTTTAAGAATTTTTTTTTTTTTTCTTTCTGTCGGTTTACGTTAAAGTTATATTATTTTTATTTTTTATTTTAACATTTTATTTTAATTTTATATATGTCTACTATAGCATATTTATGTAATAAATTGTTACTATATTTTTGTTGCATTTTATTTTAATTTTATCTGCACTTATATTTTTCTATCTATCTTCAGTTTATCTGTGATTACATTTTTCTTTCGTTTAAAGTCTAGGATTTAGATATGTATATAATTATTTTATAAACATCAATAAATATGAATTTCTCTCAATACTAAATTTATTTTTTAAAAGAAATTTTCGCTGAATTGTTGTGACGTCTTCAGCTTAAAAGTTTTTTGTTTGCTGAATTGTTGTGACGTCTTCAGCTTAAAAGTTTTTTGTTTGTTTTTGTTTATATCTTATTTTTAAAACGGCAGTTCTATTTTGTGTCAATGGATGGTTTCATTTTTTTCTGACGTAAGTGTGCCAAAAAAGGTTGGTGCATTTACATTAACCATTTTTGGCCCATATATATATATATATATATATATATATATATATATATATATATATATATATATATATATATATATATATATATATATATATATATATATATATATATATATATATATATATATATATACATATATATATATATATATGTATATATATATATGTATACATATATGTATACATATATATATACATATATATATATATATACATATATATATATATATATATATATATATATATATATATATATATATATATATATATATATATATATATATAAATATACACACACATATATATATATGTATGTATATATATATATATATATATATGTATATATATATATATATGTATATATATATATACACATATGTATATATATATACACATATGTATATATATATACACATATGTATATATATACATATATATATATGTATATATATATATATATATATATACATACATACCATTTTTGGCCCATATATATATATATGGGCCAAAAATGGTATGTACTAATTATGTATAATTGTACATACCATTAATAATGGTATGTATAATTACCGATGGCGACTATTGATTTTTATCGGCAGTTCTATTTTTTTGTGTGTGTAATTTAAGAGATTTAAAATATGCAAAGTAACTAATGCAATAAGTAACTAAAAAAATAATAAAACTCTATTTTAAAAGTCATAATGCTAAAGTTTGTTTACCGCATTTTCTATTGCTAATTAGAAAATACAAGTAAAATAAAAGCAAAAAGTTTTTATTGTTTAAACATTCCTTTTTTTTAATTTAATTAAATTTTAGAGATATGTAATAATTTAAAAGATAAGTAATAGAAGTAAATTTGTCCAGTCAAAATTCTACATATACCGAAAAAAAATTTAAAAAAATTTTAAAGAAATGACTAATGACTCTAGATCGCGTCTGGAAAGGCAATTTAATTAGTACTTTAAAAACTAGTTACTAATGATAATGGTAGGTTTAATTACCGATGGCGCTAATGTTTTAACTGGACGGAGACATAGTGTTCAGCAACAGCTAGTAGGTGCAACAATTTTCTCACTTTCATTGTTTGTCGCACCGATTGCAGCTGGCACTGAAAGATGCAGCCAGCACTTCAAAGGAACTCCAAATTCTGCAGCTATTTTGTGAGCAACTCTTCATTTTTCATCGAAGTTCTACTGTTATATCAGCGGTTTATTGTAAAGCACGCAAAGTTTATGGTGTAAAAGGTATTTTAAGAAATAAGTCTTGTTATATTGATAATATCTTAACGTATTTTTACTTATTATTTTTAGGTAGTATTAACAATCAAAATTTATATTAATTAATTTAGGCAATTTTATATTTATTTAATTTAGTATTTTAATTTTTAGGCCAAATGCAGAGTCATACGAGTTAATGTACCAGATGGGTTACAAGTTAAGTACCAGATGGGTTGCGCATATGGTAAATGCGTTGGAGAATCTTCTCAATGGTCTAAAAGTGCATATTCATAGTTATACCACTATCAGCTTGGAAAGCAACTACAGCGCAACACAGAAATCAAAGGCTAAGTTTTTTGCAAAGAAATTGGTTGATCAGCACTTAATGTCGACGGCGATCTATATTCTTGATGTGTGTAGAGCAATGACAATTTTTTCAGAGGCATTAGTAAGGTTTTTTCAGAGTATTAATTCAACACAAACAAAAGTTATAAGCTTTAGAAATAAACAACTAAAAAAGTATATATAATTAGGTAATATGTGAGTTTATTGTAATATATACTAATGTTATTGTTATTAAACGTTTTAGAAGTATAAACTTTGCGATAACTACCATTCAATAATCAAAGTAAAATGTTTACAAAAGATAAAAACTTCGTTATAAACAGATTATGTTGCGCTTTTTTTTGAACTATTTAATTAAAAGTCTATTAAAATTTTCTTGAAAGAACAAATTCATTCGAGTTTTATAATTATATTTTGTTGCTCTTATACTTAGAGTTTTTTCAGATCAAGAAATTTTTTCTAATTTATTATTTCCTAAACGTTTATTGATTAAAATTTAATTTTTCAAAATAAAATATAAAAATTATTATTTGTATATTGATAAAATACATAATTTGTCGCTGTAAATTATATATTGAATTAACTACTAAATTCAAATATTTAATTACAACTTATATATAACTTAACTATATAGTATTTAATAAAAAATACACCATTGCTTTTGAAATTAAAACGTTAATGTAACAAATAATAAATTGTTTACTTAGAAATTTAAGAATTTACCAATAATAATATTGTTTATGTTTTTATTAGGTCAGCACACAAAAAAAATGTTTCAACGTATGAAGTTAAGTCTTAGCTCGAGCAATTTAGAAAGATTCGAAGAAAATCCAGACGCTGGTTTTTACTGGAACAAGCGCTCGATATATGGGATTGTAAATTTGCATGAAGTGATAAAAGTATGAAGATCGAGTTTTTATTACTACATCCATGCAAAAGTGCATTTTGAAACGATATTCAAATGTATCAGATGTCTTTGCGGAGGCGGACGAGTTGCTTAACACAGTTGAATGGACGGAGAGCGACTTTTTCACGGCTGAAAACAACAAAAAGTTACTTAAAACATGCTAGACAATAACATAAAAGCCTTTATTGACGACGATATGCTTTGCAACAACTCGAATATAAACGAGTAGATGTTGGAAATATTTTATTAGAGTGGATAATATTGAAAAAAATAATAGCAACTTGGACAAGTGCAAGTTCAAAATCATTTCCAACGCTATCTATGTAAATCTATATAAACCAGATAGATTAGCGAATCTATCTATATAAACCAGATAGATTCGCTAATCTTTTTTCTCTGATTGATTTTTTATTTTGCCATAGCTTAAGTTCGGCAGACGCGGAAAAAGGCTTTAGCGCAATGAAAAACATTAAATCAATTCAAAGAACACGAGTCAGTAACAAGTTATTAACGATCGTATAATTCCAGAAATGGATTTATACGATCCAACAAAAGCCATTAAACACTGGCTTTTAAAACCATCACGAAAAAAAAAACTAGCATTATTCAAAAAAGCTTTACATGGACAACAAAACTCCAGTTGTGTCAGTTAAAAAGTCAAAGAAAATACAGATTTTTGCTAGTAGCGATGATGACAGTGATAGAGCTGTAACAATTGATGACGATATATAATAATTTTGAGTCTTGAATGTTTTTTACCTTTCAAAATATAAATATTTTTTCTTGTAACAAATAAGATCGTAATAATTACAACACATTAAAAGCAAAAGGATTTTAAAGTATTTGCAAATTGTTTTTTATATTTGTCAAGAGTTTTTTGTTGTAATCGAACGTCTATTTTTTTTATAAAATGAGCCCTCAAATAAAGTTTAAAAATATAATGGCATGTGTTTTTTTTGAAAGTAGAAAAGTGAATTTTATTAACAGTTTTCAATATTACTTTTATTTGCGCATATTGTTTCTAGTGCACATTTTGCCATATAACAAAAAATGACTAAAATATGCGAGAACTTCGCTAAGTGGAAATTTAAAAAAAAAAAGGCAACGGGCGACTCAAAACGTCGGCGGGCAACCAAAATTAACAAACTGGTTAGTTTCAGTCGTCCTTCTGGCGACTGACCAAAAGTCCTAGTGTACACCCCTGATATATATATATATATATATATATATATATATATATATATATATATATATATATATATATATATATTATGCGGTAGTGGTGTAGTGGTAGAGCGCTCGCTTCATAAACGAGTGGTTCCGAGTTCGATCCCCACCACGTCCCTGGTAGTACCGCGCTCAACTCGTTTCTCCGCGCAAATAAAAATAAAAAAATGTATATATATATATACATACATATATATATATATATATATATATATATATATATATATATATATATATATATATATATATATATATATATATATATATATGTATATATAAATATATATATATATATATTTATTTATATATATATATATATATATATATATATATATATATATATATATATATATAATGTTTTCCAATCATACAGGTTTAGCTATATATTTTTGTAATATATTTCTTTTTTAGGCTTTTTCACTCATTACTCATTCAAAAATTAAGAAAAGTTTAAAAAAATAAAATTGAAAACAACTTAGCTAAAAGCAAAATTAAGAGAATTATAAGGGAAAATGTTTTTCCTCAAATCTTTTAGGTGAAATTTTGTGTAATATATATCGTGTGTATTTTGTGTAATACATAATGTGTGTCACTTAACATTAATGACAATATGGTTAAGTTTGCAAAATTGTTAATAAAAGAAAAACATTATCATTGTAACTAAGATGAAAAAGTCATTTTAAAATTGAACTAATAAGTGCATAATAAATTGCAATGCTTTATTAAGGCACGTTTATTTCAAAAATAAATAAATAAATTAATTAATTAATTAATAAAGAGTGCTAATTAAAATGCAAATGTTTTTAATTAGATTGGAATAACTAATTAGTTTCTTAAATAAATAAATCTGATTTTTCAAAATAATTTATTAAAAATAATTATTATGAAAAAATAAATTGATAATATTTTTGTAACAAGTATAACATTAAATTTTGTGTTTAATAAGGAATTTATTTAGATAACTCGCTGTAACTGTTATATAAAAACCTAACACCTAAATACGGTCGACGCTATCGAAAACTGTCTAGAATAGACCCTGATATATAGCAGTTCTTTAATGCATATGAATCAGTTCTAAACTTCTTTAATGCTTTCATTCTTTTGTAGCAGTGTTATAATCTTGTAATTTGTGTATTGAAATTTATTTAAACTTTTTTTTAAAGTAATACAAGGTAGCTAAAAAGCTTTAAATCATTAGTTAATCATTTTAACACAGTCTTTATTCAGTTATGAAATTTTTGCAGAAACAGCTAGACAAACTATTTGTTGATATGATTTGCTTTCAAATTCTAATTGATTGAAACATCGCTAACATTATTTTTGCTTTCCTCTAATTTTCAGCTTTTTATTAAATTTATATTATCTTAATAGACACTGTGTTCATCAACATTATTTATTACTCTATAATATAATAAATATTATATAACAAGAAATATTTTGTAATAGAAATTAAATAATTAATTAAACTTATACAAAGTCTACAATATTTCACTTGTTGTATTTGATATTGTAGATTTTCTATAGGTTAGTTTTAGTTTATATATAGTAAACACCTTTACACTATTTTGTACCATTTTTTAATCATAGTCACTAACACAGTAACATGCTGTATCAGTGCTCTGCATCACAAACAACAGATTTAAAGTTTTTTTTATGTATCACTTTTTTATTTGCTTTTCTACTATTAAATTTTTATTTTATTTTTACTAGTTATGCTTTACATTACACAAATAAAAAAATTAAATACATATATTATAGCAGTATCATATACTGTTGTGGATACATATAGTATACATACTGTAACCACATATTATTATAGTCACTTGTATAGGATGTTTACATGAATGGGGAAATCGAGATGTGTTGGTATAAATTTATAATTTAGGAGACAATTGGATCAAATGGAGGAAGCATCAAACCAGGAAAGGTCAAGGTGCTTTATACAAATATGTATGAAAATATATTTTCTGGAGAAAATTTTAGATGCAGAGCTTCAAAATAGCCTGTAGTGGTTGATATGAGAGGGTAGGAACAATAAAATAAGCAAAGAAATAATAAAATATAATGAGAAAATAAGCAAAAAATAGTAAATAGAAATGTGTGAATTTTGGTTTGGAGAGTTTTCTCAAAAATGCTCAAAACTTGATTTTAAGTTTATTCTTAAATTTTATCCTTATAATAAGTTACTAAATATTTCTCATGTTTCTTGGTCAAAATGCTGTATGTTAACTTTCTTCTCTTTATTATACTGTTAAAAGCTTAATTGTTTTAATAGCTTTAATCATTTTAAGTGTTTTGGGACATAAAAGCCTTTATCATTGAAAAAAAAATTCTTTTATGTTTTTTCTTGACACTTTTTAGGTTTTTATATTTAAAAAGTGAATTTAACTCAAAGCAGTGATATGCATTACTTTGCATAAAAGTTATTATTCTATATAAAGTGGTTTAACTCATAGCTGTGACATCTATTACTTTGTTTAAAAATTATTATTCTATATAAAATCTTAACAATTTCAATAGTTGTACAGAAAATATTATCATATTAGTTTGAATGATAAAAAAAATAATTAAAACTTAAAAAAAATCGTTAAAAAAATTTAATCTTTTTATAAAAACTTAGTATCTATTTGATGTTGTCAGTATTATAAATTGTTTTTATGTTTTAGTTATTTTTTTTGTGGTTGTTTTATCATTTTATTTTTGTTACAGATGCATATTAGCAACTTTATCTTCTAATGGAAATGTCTATATACATTCATTGAAACAAAGTATTGGTAAATGGAATCCTATTTTAAATGTATCAAATATATTGTTCGATTATGTTAAAGTAAGGAATTGGTTAGATTTTAGCACTTGCAATGAACAAAAACACTCAATAGAAAAGCATTTTGACTTTAATTGTGAACATTTTGAGCAGCATAGATTTCGGAAACATTTACTTTTTACAACTTCTATTTGCTGGTGTCCTTCAATTATTCCTTGCATTAATTGCTTTCAAAAACCTAGCTGCGATCGCAATATTTTTTTAAATGACAATTTCAACTCTTACATTAAGTGCAAGCATTCTAAACTAGTTTTTTTAACTGCTAGCAAGAATGGCTTTTTGTTTTTATGGCTAGTAACTTTTTCATTAATGGAAGAAAATCAAAACAATGCAAAAGTTATGTTATGGTGGAAGACAGATATAATGTGGCCTGTTTCAACAGTCATTTATCAGTATAGTATATTACAATGTGAGTTCTTAATTTTGTTTTTAAGTAGTTTTTGTTTGAAAAATAATATATAAAAAATCTAAAATGAACGTCAAAAAGAAAGAAGATTAAGAAAAGTTCTTGAAATTATTTTATATTTATCTGTTTAAGTGGTGTTAATGAGTCATGTAGTTAAGTTCACAAGTCATTGAGTTTGATAAGAGTTGAATTATTGAGATTAATGAATTAATAATGATAATGTCACATTGGAAAAAAAATATATTAGGAAGTTATAGTAATGAAATAAGTTTAAATTAAATTAATAGTTATTAATTTTTTCAAAAGTGTCTTCTAAATTTTTGAAGTTTGCTATGCAATAAATATGAAAGTAATCAAAGTTAATGAATCATGGAGTTAGGGGAGAGTTATTTTCGAGTCATTGAATTTGATGAGAATTTGAATTCTGTTATTGAGATCATTAAATTATTGAGATCAATAATTTATTGAGTTAAGATTAAAATATGTTTTAGTGCCACTTATTAGAAGAAAAAAAAATAATAATAATCATAATATTGTACTATAAAAAATATATTAGGAAGTTATATTAATAAAATAAAAAAAGGTTTAAATTAAATTAATTTTGAGTTATTATTTTTCTCGAAGATAATTGAAGTTGACTCCATGTTGCTATTTATGCTGCAATGCCTCTGATTAACTTTTAAAATTTTAGGGATATAATAGTTTTACTGCGTAAAAAGTGAAACTGTGTTCATATAAAAATACATGGTCTATAGACTACTTAATCAAGGAAAACAATTTTCTTTAACAATTTTACTTTAACTTAAGTACATAATGCATAAAATGCTTGTATTAATGCAACAATTAAAGAGTTAAACAAAATTCTAAAATTAATAGGGTATAAAAGGGACATCTGTTCAGATAACAGCTATAAAGTTTCTCATTAAAGACTATTTTGTTATGTTCTGTGACAAAAGTATATCTTTTTGGAGTACCTTAAACACTACCAGATAAAGATACCAAAAGAGAATTAGTTCCATTTTGTTGCTTTGCTGTCATTTTTTTAGGTTAAGGTTAGGCCAAATGATAAAACTATTACATTTTTTAGTAAAATCTTATATTTCATATTGGTTTTAAGGCAACTACAATGTATAAAAATTGCAGATTGATTTCAAGATTAATTGCAGATTGATAGATTTTTACATTTGAGCTTCCATCATTTTTTTTACTTCCATTGTTTAAATAGTGCAATCATAATACCCAATGGGCACAAGACATTTTATGAATTTATAAATTTTCGAGTTTTTTATTGAAATAAAAAAAAGAATAATACTAAGTTAATAAAATAATAAATAACTAAAGAATAATTCAACCATACAGTTTTGTTAACACAGTTTTATTTTTTAAATTGTTGTTGTGTCATGTATAAAAATTTTCAATGTATATTTGAAATAATGTGTCTACTTAACCAACAACAAATCAAAACAAAAGTAGTAACTTGTAAAGTAAAACAATCAAAAGTTAAATGTTGCATAAAATATGTTGCATAAATTATGTTATATGTTGCCAGCATAGAAAATAGTGGCCGGTTAACAGTCAACGGACCGCCTGAAATTACTAAAATTGCTTATATATATGTGTATATATATATATATATACATATATATATATATATATATATATATATATATATATATATATATATATATATACATAAATATATATATATATATATATATATATATATATATATATATATATATATATATATATATATATATATATATATATATATATATATATATATATATATATATATATATGACAACATTCCTGTTGTAGTCTTGCAGAGGTGTTCTCCGGAGCTTTCATCCATACTTTCTAAACTATTTAACAAGTGCTTATCAGAGTCTTGTTTTCCATCATGCTGGAAAGCAGCATCTGTTATCCCTATTTTCAAAAATTCCGGAGAGCGATCTGATTCATCTAACTACCGTCCCATTAGTCTTCTTCCTGTCATAAGCAAGGTTTTTGAATCTTTAATCAACAAACACTTAATCTCTCATCTTGAATCAAATAACTTACTTTCTGATCATCAATATGGATTTCGGTCTTCTCGTTCTACAGCTGATGTGCTAACAGTAATAACCGATAGGTTTTACCGTGCATTAGATAGAGGTGGAGAGGTTAAGGCTATTGCACTTGACATTTCTAAAGCTTTTGATAAAGTTTGGCATGCTGGTCTTCTCCATAAGCTTTCTTCTTATGGTGTAGCTGGTAACGTCTTTAAGATTATTGAGTCCTTTCTTTCCAATCGTAGTATAAAAGTTGTCCTCGATGGACAACACTCTTCTTCACATCCTGTAACTTCAGGGGTTCCTCAAGGTTCAATCCTTGGCCCTATACTCTTTTTAATTTACATTAACAATCTTCCAGATATTCTCACATCTAAGGTGGCATTATTCGCTGACGACACTACCATTTACTCTTGTCATGATAAGAAGCCTACACTCTCTGATTGCTTGGAGGGGGTATCTGAGCTTGAAAAGGATCTCACTTCTGCTACAGCATGGGGCTCACAGTGGCTGGTGAACTTTAATTCAGATAAAACTCAATTTTATTCGGCCAATCGTTATCGTAATAATTTAGATCTTCCTATATTTATGAATGGTAATGTACTAGATGAGTCATCTACCATTCATCTTTTAGGATTAACTCTTACTTCTGATCTTTCTTTTAAACCGTATATCAAATCCATTGCAAAATTAGCATCTGCTAAGGTTGCATCTCTTTATCGAGCTCGACACTTTCTTACTCCAGATTCTATTCTCTATCTCTATAAATCTCAAATCCGTCCCTGTATGGAATACTGTTGCCACATCTGGGGCGGATCTTCTAATGATGCTCTTTCTCTTTTAGACAAGGTGCAAAAACGAATTGTAAACATAGTTGGACCTGCTCTGGCAGCCAATCTCCAACCTTTGTCACATCGTCGTAATGTTGCTTCTCTTTCTCTTTTCTACAAATACTATAATGGGCACTGCTCTAAAGAGCTAGCGTCCCTTGTGCCATCTACTAAAATTCATTCTCGTGTTACTCGCCATTCAATTAAGTCTCATCCTTTTTCTGTGACTGTTCCTAAGTGCTTCAAAAACTCTTATTCTTCTAGTTTTTTTCCTCGAACATCAGTTCTTTGGAATTCGCTTCCTTCATCTTGCTTTCCTGATTCATATAATTTGCAATCTTTTAAGTCATCAGTCAATCGTTATCTTGCTCTACAGATTTAGTCTTTTCTCTTCCAGTAACTTCCAACTCTTATAGTGGTTGCTTGCAGCCTTGTTGGAAGTAAAGATGTTAAAAAAAAAAAAAAAAAAAAAAAAATGTGTATATATACATAAATATATATATATATACAATGTATATATATGTATACATATATATGTTTTACATATAGTATACATATATGTATATGTTTTACATATAGTATATATATATATATATATATATATATATATATATATGTTTGATCTTTCAAAATAAATTTCAAGCCGGTCAAGGTTGACTGGTCAAAAAACAAGGTTTGACCAAGGTCGTATAAATAGATAGACGTTTAATACATTGTTATAGATCTGAGGTGCCACAAGTAAACAAAAACCTATGCAAGCTATAATTTTTAGTGTCGTTTTTCTCAATAATTTAAAAAATAAACCAACATTTTTCTGATATTTTTGCTTTTGTAACTTCTTTTACTTTTCAAATGTAATTACCCATAAAACTCTAACTTTTTGTTAAAATTAATGCATTTTAGTTATCAGAAATAGCTCATCTGTTCTAAAATGCCAAATTTGATACGTGAGTGCTTTTTAATAAGAGCTTATTTTTAATAAGACTTAGACGTCAAAAATCATATTTTTGTTAAAAAGTGATATGTAGTTTGCAAGAAAGAATACTGTAAAGTGAAATGAATTTTCTACATGTTGTAGGTAAAACTGTAGATCATTTATAGATCAAACTATAGATTACTTGTGGTCTCTTTACACTTAGCTTTCACTATTCTTTTAAGGATTTAAGTTTCTCATTTTTGTCAAAAATCTCAACTTTTTTTGTCTCACTTACAGTTTTGTTTTGATATTTTTCTGTGATTGACTTTTTTTTCCATGTGAAGATTTTGATTGAGTTTATTAATCATGTAATGAAAAGGTTTTATTTATTTAAAAACTAAAATAAATAAACATAACAAACTAAAAAAGTTTTTAGGTAATATGAACTGTTTAAATTTTTTTTCGAAGTAAAGTAGTGCAACATTTAACGTAATAAAATTTAAAACTACATCATTAATTATCTTCTGTTAACCTTTTAAAAGAAAACAGTATTTATATAAGAAAGCCTAATAATCGTCTTATTCCTTAATTTCAAACTCATCAGTCAATTAAAATTACATGATGAATATCTTTTTTTAAAATTGGTTAGGAGAGACTATTGTTATTTTGGCGCAAAATTAAGTAAAAATGTTTTCAAGTTAAAAATAGTTAACACCTGTTCTTTTTTGTTTTATTTGTAACAATGAAAAGCGCTGATATATTGGCTTTTAAACAATGCATTAAATGTCCATCTAATTATATGTCCTTGGTTTGACTAATAATAAGGATGAAATTTGGAAAAAACATATACTAAAATTTCATGAAATCATGGAATTTTGAAAATGCCTTTAAATAATTTTATTGTTTATGATATGCTTCTTTAATTCACATCAATGAAAAATATGATTTATGACAAATTCGATTAACTTTTTTGCTTCACTCATTTAGATTACTTTCATTTTAATGGTTATAAAAATCCTTTTTTTTATAAATGATTGAAGTTCATACTTTATTATTATTTAAAAAAATATATTTATAAAATTTTAACAACAATATAAAAATATATAAAAATTGTTGTTTTAACTATGAACATTATATATAGAGGGTTGTATGTATATGTATATATATATATATATATATATATATATATATATATATATATAT